CTCGAGTGCAGGAGGCTGGAGGTCAGCTGCTCTGCTCTGCAGCTCTGGAACCCATCGCCTCCTGGTAGCTTGTCATCCTTCACCTTCCTCCACACCTAAATACCTTTGGTGGACTTCAGCCAGGGGTCAGTCAGCGTCACCAAAGCACTGACACAGAAAATGCGACTGACCTAACACTAAGGCAGTTCTCTAGAAAAGGACTGATCAGCCCAAGAGAATGCATGGGTTTTTTTCCCCTGCTATTAATACTTATTTGTGTTTTAATTCTTTCTTATTTGAGAGCAATGAAATACTCTTTCAAGTGTTCAGCCTTCTCTTGAGTGAAATTTCTGTTGGCTGTAGTGGCATTAGCTGGAATGAAAACTGCAGTCTTTGTCCTTCACTTTCCTTTGAACTGCAGTTACGCTTGCCTGTTGCATGTGTCCTTATTAACCCAGACTGCAAAGGCTTCTTATTTTAGCTTGCAGATTAAGAGTGTGAACTCTTGAGCAGTGTTGTAAAGTGACTTCCTGTGCTTTTTTTTTTTTTTTTCCCTTTTTAAATTGATGAGAAGTGTAGGACACCTGAATCCATTGAAAATATGTAGTTGAAAGCAATTTTACTATTATCTGCCATCAGGGTAGCATACCACCTATGGCAGCTATTCACTGTTTGTTGATCTTTCATACTCTGTGCCAACAGTACTGTGTACTCAAAAAATAAATAGCAAATCTTTGTACCAACAAACTTTATGAACAGGGAAGGGAGGAAAAAAGTACGTTAATTGGGAGGAGGGAAGTATTCCCAAATAATCTCTGATAGGTAGTTGCAAACCAAAAATGTCCCTAAGTGCAAGTGGGAATTTTTTATCGGCTCAAGTGGCCTGAGCATCGTGTCTGGTGTTCCCTGGCTTGGTGGTCTCTGCCTGGTCCCTGGGTGGCTACTGTGAGCCTTGGGAAGATTCAAGGGATTGACCTGTTCATGGGCATGGTTCCCACTGCAGCTGTGGTGAACTACACCCATCCTTCAACCCTAAGAGGGGGAGGAGAGGGGCCAGGGCAGGTTATTGAAGTGGAAATCTTTATAAGAGTCTGTGAGATTAGTACCCAAATTGGGACTGTGTTTTCCTGGCAGTCACCTCGGGGTGCAGACAGTGGGAGAGATGGTGTTTGAGGAGTCTTCAGGTAATAATTAACTTTAACAATTAACTTGAGTTTTGTCATGACACTCCACCCTTATTTAAATATTTTGTTTATTTCAAAAAATGTGAGCGTGCAGGTAGTTGGTTTTGGGGTTTTTTTTATACACATCTCTCCCTCTTGGGTTTAAATTGTCAGAACAGAGTGCTAACTCTGGGGATGTATCACAGTGACTTAGTAGACCTGGTGGCCTCGGGCTACTAAAAGACAGTGTGTGTGAGAGAGCATATGGAGACAATTCTGCATCTGATGTGCTTTAATCATTTAGAGAACCCATTGTCCATCAGACTAGCAGCTTAGCCCTGCTACTACTATGACTAACAAGTTGGCAGTGGGTTATCAGCGCAGTGTGCTGTACTGTGTCTCCAGCCTTCTGCAGTGTGAGAGAGCCATAACCGGGGGGGGGAAGGGAGTATTTAAAGATGTTCATAACAAGCAGGTTTCCATGCAGCAGCCCATAGTGTCAAGGAGTGTCAAATGAAAGGAGTTCAAGCTGCTTTGAGGAGCGTGGCATGACACATCTCTGTCATAAACCTGATTTTTTTGGTACAAGATTAGCTGTTTGATTTGTATATCATAGGCGGGTTCTGGGGAAAAAAAAAGGTAGAGAAACTAGTTGGATCTGTTTGGTTACTTCCATTTTCTGGCTCTGGTGCCGCAGGGCGGTTGCGAGCATTGCAGTGTTAGAAACATACTTAGATGGTGCAGAACCACCCAAAACCCAGAGCTATTTTTTTTCATTAAAAACAGTGCCAAATGAAATGCCTTCCTAATTTTTTTTTTCTTTTATTAATACATTTTAACTTTGGTTAGCTGTGTTCCAAAATACCGAAGTTTTAACTACACACTGATACAGCTTTTAGTTTTCCTTCTGCAGTAGGTGATTCAGAGATTCTGTAGACAATTCTTATTTAAATACTGTGTCTGGGGTCCTAGAAACATACTGCTCCTGTAAAGCAGAAAGGCTGGCAAAGCGTACTTCACCCCGCAGACTGAAATACTGAAAATGGCTGTAACCCTGGTGAATGTTACTATAAGTAATCTCTCAGTAAATCTCTTTAAGATGTCTATGTCTGTGGGCAAATTAGAAATCTGGTGGTTTGACTTACCTGTTCCTTTTTAACTGCCTTCTGGATGTGTTTACTGCCTGCAGAATCTCACTGAAACCCCACAGCGTGCTTGTCGCCTGTCTGGGTGTTGCAGGCAGTGCTGTAATCAGAACCTGTTGATATGGGCCCTTGCAACGTATGCACTAACAAAGAGGATTAAAATCAAACTCATGTCATTAGTTCTGGCGGGTCATACCATGCCTGCCACAGAGGTACTTAAAAAGGAAAGGAATCGCACGTTAACAGCATTCCTGCTTTCCCGAAGCGTTTCAGAAACCTGTCCCTCTTCACTGCTCGGCTGCCTGTAACTTCCTTTAACAAAAAAAACTCGTGGGCACTGGCTGACAGTTCAGAAAGCAGAACGGGGTTTTGAATCCAGCTCTCCTGCAACCGCTGCTGCATTTTTAAGGATACTTATATCATTTGTGTGCTCTTCTAAGCATCCCTGGTGCCAGTATGACCATTCCTAGTGGAACTGGTCCCTGGAGTCTCAGCTGCAGCACTCAACATCTTTCTGCAGTGCAGCCATGGGAGTCTTTGTGCAGGAGTGTCTCAAGTACTGTGGATTAAACCTTGAAAAGTTACTCCCCTCTTTTTCACTGTTGGGTTTAGCTATTACTTTTTAAACCCCAACACCTCTTAAGTAACAGAGCCAAGCAGACAGCTGAGCTTCCTTGTAGCAGATGAGCCTAAGGGAACATGTGCATGACCTATGAGCATAAGGGACCCTTGGCTACCAGACTAGCCCTGATGCCTTGAACTACCTGCAAAGGCAGGGCTGGTAATACTATAAAATCCAAGCACTTAAATGCCACAACATCTGCCTCTCTGAGTCCTAAACCAGGAACCTGTGGGAGCTTGCACTAGAATTGGGAATGAATGGAAACAGACATAGCCCCATGGAGTTAGCAAGGCCAACCTAGACATAAAGTGGCGAGCAATTAGAACAGTTCAAATGCTTCCCCCCACTCTCCTCTGAAATGTGATCCCTCTCTTACAAATCAGGTACACTGTTGAGAAAGTTCAGAGACGCAAATGCTTCTCTTGTCTCTTCCTTAAAGTGTAAAAGACCATGGATTAAATCCTCAGCCCTACTCTTCGCTGGGGTAAAAGAGCCAGGATGTGATAAAGGGGGTCCAGAAGGCAACAAACCAGGATGTGGTGGAAGCCTGTTGCCTTCCTTCTCCGCACAGACAGCTGCTTTCCCAAAATCACCTCACAAAGCCCTGTCAAAAGGACAGTATGGTTTTGCCTGTTACCTACCATCAGTATTGCACATGCTTTTCAATTGTGCACATAAAAGTGAGCAAAAAAAATCATGATATGTGATTTTTTTATAGATAAAGAAGACTATGTGGTTAGCGTGGGGGTGATTAGAGGGTTTTTTTTGTCAGCTTCTAAATTTTTGGCAGTAAACTTGCCAGTAATGCAAGGGGATGCAACAGCATTAAAACTATTTGATTAGCAACTTCTCTTACCTACCTGGAGCATGAGTTTTGATCTGTTTCCGTTCCCAGGATCTAAGTGCCAAGAATTTGAAATGCTATAGCTGAGGCATCTAGAAAATGTCGTCACCACTTGTGGGTTTATGAGAGGCTTGTCACAGGCTTAGCAGCTCTACACCACATGGTGTTTCAGATCAATGAGGGGATAATGATATCCATGTTCACCAATCAATTAACTGTGCAGGTCTCATTTTTATCAAACTTGTGCCCTGTGGAGGTCACCTTGCACACACAATAATCAGCTTGTGTCCTGGGGTCTCCACATACTTCCAACTGAGAAGTGTCACTTGCTGTGTGTTTGAGTGAAACCCTGATTTGCCGATGCAAAATAAACCCATGGCTGCATGTGCACAGATGGATCAGGATGGGATTATTGAAGGTCGGGTTATCCTGTCTGTGCTAACGCAGTAGGAGATTAATGAAGGAAGGATTTTGCTGTTAAAAATGACCCACTACACTTCTTCCATGTGAACAGACACTGTCTGCGCTGCAGTTGGATGTGGAGCTGCAGTCCAGCAGGATGCTCCCAAGCTGACTTTAACTAGTCTGGGTCAATTGACCACGCAGCAAAGACAGAGGAGCATGGGCACCAACTGCTCACCTACAGCCCTTGGTGGACTTGTACAGCCTGAGCTGAAATCTCTGTTCTTCCCATTCTGCTGTGCTGTTGGTACTCAGCCAACCCATGGTACATTTCGCCCTTCTCACTGCGGTGTGGACGCAGCCTTGGCAGCCAGAGTCAAGTCAGCTCACTCTAGGCTTTGGTCAGGATTACAGGATGACAGTGTGGCACCTGGGGCCAGCCCTAAGTGTTCCTCTCATGGGTGCTGTGCTGTCGGAGGTGTGAAATGCCTCCCCCCAGACCCCCGCAGCTGGCAGACACGGGGGTGATGCATTATGCGGCTCTGGTTCAGATGGTTTCTCTTCACAGGGGTGGGATTTGTTTCTAGTAGTGACATGAAACAAAAGGAAATGCTGTGTGAAATTACTGCTCTCTTTCCTACCTATCGGAGTGAATCCACTCCCTTTTTAGTTTGTATTTCAAGGCAAAATAGCGGATTCTCTTAGGTTGACAGAAGAGTCCGCATCAGTCTGTTGAAACCTGGCATTAAGTGTTCCTTATGTAGCAGAATGGAGAAAATAATTGTCTTTAATGACTTTGGTTTTTCTTTGCTTGTTCTAAATGCTGCTGGCTGTCTCTCAAACAGGCCCAGAGTCCCTGGCTTCCCCACTACGGAGCAGTTGATGTCCGTTTTACTGGCATGGCGGACTGTTTCCGGCAAACTGTGAAGAGCAAAGGTGTCCTCGGGCTTTGGAGTGGACTCACACCCAGTCTGCTCAAGGTGAGGTTCTGCTTTCATCCCAATCAAAGATTATCCTGAAGTAATTAAGACATGCTTTTGGACAGTTGGGGTTATAAAGCTCATGACGTGCCTCCAAACTTATTAGCAGATTATAGATGACAAGAGTCCGTGATAGAACAGGCATAACCTCAGGCAGGTTTTAAACCGGCTTTGGAACTTGGTTTTGTTTTATTTCCCCAAATGTAAGCTTGGCTTCTGTCTGTCACTAGTTTAAAGTTCATTTGAGTGTCTTTAGAGCAGGGAGTGAGGCTAACAGACAAGCCAGGGTATGGACAGGGGATTGCACGTGATCCACTTAGGACACCTAAGCAAGTCCTGCGTCTCAGCTGAGCTCCGGTCATTTGACAGGTTGTGCCAAGCTGTAAGGAAAATTGTGCTTGTAGAGGCCACTTCCCCAGAAGTCAAAAGGAGTACTTTTGACCAGCTATTCAATGCATACAGCCCCTGATGAGTTGAAAGCATGAAATAAAGCACAGTAGTTTAAACAGAAGGTAATTTAGTTTACATAAATACATTTTATATTGCTGCAGTGACAATTACTTACATGGAGTCAGCTACAGGTCAGCTAATGAGTGGTAATTGATTGTGATGTGATTGATTGCTGTGGCTTGCCTATGCCTCGCCCTGTCTTTGTTGGTATAAAGCCACATGGCACCAGAGTTGCCAATCCTGCATGGGGCAAAAGAAGAAAATTGTTCAGTCACTCTGCTGTGTGTAGAATAAATCCCACCTTTCCTACCAGGATTTGCTGAGGCTTCTTAGGATTTGCTTAGGTATTTGACAAGTTGTGATAATCTATAGGCTAGCACAGACCTTGTTCCTCACAGTATTGTTATAATTAGTTACATACCAATAATGAACTCCCACTTTCAGTGTGCTGTAGGTGCCAGCCTAGTTGGAGGTGAGACTCTGATTTTATATAAATGAGTACAGCTCTATTAGCAGATCAGATTAGATTTGAAGTCCTAGAAGTTGGTTTTTTTTAAAACATCTTAAGCTAAGGATGCTACTATAGAGTCTCATATTGGGGTTTTGTCTTATGGTGCTTTTTTTATATGTTTTTATCAGATTGTCCCATACTTCGGTGTTATGTTTACCACCTTTGAATTCTGCAAGCGGGTCTGTCTGTACAGAAACGGTTATATTGAATCTCCTTTAAATTACAAGCTAACTCCTGGGGTGGACCAGAGTTTACAGCCACAAGAACTGAGAGAATTAAAGCTCCTCCGAAGGGAAAATTTTGAGCCAAGGAAATCGACTCTTGAAAATTGACATCAGTGACCTTTGCAGATATACACAATACCTTTCATAAGGAACTTTGCAAGAAAAATGTGCTGAACTTACAGGTACCAGCGTCTCAGTGCATTGCATGGGTTTAGTAGTGAGAGACACCAGTGCCAGGAATGAATAAATGTTGTATCTCATTTGCTGAATGGGTATAAACAGTATGAATAGCAAGCAGATACTGAAGAGGAGAGATGCAACTAGTTTGAAAACGCTATGCTATTAGAACTTGAAATTACATTATTCTAGGTGCTTTTCAATACAGAATAGCCATTTTGAGATAAAACCACTTGCAAAAGGGCAAGAGAACTGAGACGAGAGTATAAACCGTGTCTTCAAAAATATTAGGAAAATTCAGATGGATTTTTTGTAAGTAATTTAAGATACTGAGTCAGCCAAAAATGATAAACAGACTAGAATACATACGACATGCAAGAAATTCTACTGAAATACCTTTTATTTAGTGATACTGTGTGGACATGGTATTCTGTGGATGCAGAATTAGTCTCAGTTCAGTCACACTCCAGAATCCACTCTTCAGTTTTTGAGACTTACTTGAGAATAATAATTTTGTATGAATCTTTGGCGTAAAGATGAAAATATGCTGCTGCAACCGTGCTTTTGCCAAGGGAGAATTATAACGTGCAATTTGAATGGTAGTACACTGGAATGAAAATCTTGCAAACTTAGGTGCATACTAGAAAATCTTCCCCCCACTTTCTCCTCTGTTGTTACTGTGTGTACGTGAACTATTTCAGGCCTTGAAAAATAGTTTTTCTGAAGTTCTTTAACTGACATACTACCTGAAAAACGCAGTTCTTAAATGTGTTAGATATTTCAGAGCCACGAGCCTTGTCGTGTTGTTTTGGTATTCTTGAAGCTCTATTTTTATATTAAACTACTTTTTAGTTCCTGTGCACAGACCCAGGCCTACTGTGCACTGTCCGGCTCAGAACTTACCAGCAGAATAGCACTGTGCACACAACCGGTGATTTTTCCACTTTAACTGCTGTATTCCAGGAGCCACAGGTAGTTTCTGTAGATAGGAACCTCTCTGCAAGACCCCTAGGTTATTGCCAATGCAATTGACAGGTCTCTGACAGTCCAGGGAGCTTTTGGGCATTAAAAGATGGTTTTGGTGTTACGCCTTAGGACCTGTGTTGTTCTCAGGTTCCTTTGCAGAAGCACAGCTATGGGACAGCCCCATCCCAGTGCCTTCTGGTAGCAAACCTTAAACCCTGTGTCCTGGTGGGAAGGGGGCTCTGCCCTCCGTGGCGTGTCCCATCAGGCTGTGGCCATGTGGGAATGGCAGCAGCAGCCCCGGCTCAGCATGGGATTTGCCTCCTGGTTTACACAGCTTTTTGTGTGTGTTTTTCGTACCATTTATGTCCCTGCTGAGTTGGAAGTAAGTAAATCTCAGAAGCTGCTTGGTTAGGCCAGGTCAGGGTGGGATGAGGGAATGGCAGATCAATGCAGGAACAGTCTGTGACTATGGAGAGAGATTTGCAGAATGATTAGGGATAATTATGAGGCCTTCCTTGCGCCTGTAACTCAACAGGGATGTGCTCTGCAGCTGGGGTCTTGCAGTGTCTCTCTTAATGGACTTGCTCAGTTCTGCTGCAATGGGGCTTCACATTGGTTTTCTTCTCAGAGGATAAATGCAAGCATTGACAGCAGAAATTAAGATGGTAAAGAACAGATCTGGTGGGTTGTGCATCACACTGAGGCTGTAAGTGCTTTTGGCTTTCTAATCGACCTGCCTAGTGAAAGTGTTTCTCTGTGCCTCAGTTTCCCCGTCTGCACGGCACAGGTGATAACACTGAGACTCGTTTGAGAGGTACAAATAAGGAGATGTGTCTTCTGAGCACGTTGGGGAGAAAAACTGATTTCTAAAGAGTGCCCTTGCCTTGTCCAAGCATACCATGTATGTTTTTTCCTGATGTTATATTTCTAAATAGATTTTAAGATTGTGTGATGGGTGCATGTGAATGTCTGATCAGCTCTTCAAACCTGGTAAGAGTCAAGTGAGTCAAAAACTTACCTCTGACTTGTTTCTGATATGCTAATAACTCCTTTGTATTGTAATGTACTCCTACCACACATAAATCACTTATTAATCTTTTATCAGCCAAGCCTCTCCTTTGCGTAATCACACCTGGGCCTGAGAAATCCCCCAAAAGGGAACGCTGAAATACATAAAACCACACCAAAACAGAGGTGGATCAGCAGTGGGTCGCTGACATGAGGAATGGTGCATAATGGTGGAGAACCACCACAGGGCCAGCTCTGGGGTGACATTTTTAGGGTGACGAAGCTGGTGAGGAGTCTGGAGAGTAAGTCTTATGAGGAGAGGCTGAGGGAGCTGGGGTTGTTCAGTCTGGAGAAGAGGAGGCTGAGGGGAGACCTTATCACTCTCTGCAACCACCTGAAAGGAGGGTGTAGAGAGGCAAGGGTAGGCATCTCCCAAGTCACAGGAGATAGGAAAAGAGGAAACGGCCTCAAGTTGTGCCAGGGGAGGTTCAGGTTGGATATTAGGAAAAATTTCTTCATGGAAAGGGTTATCAGGCATTGGAATGGGCTGCCCAGGGAAGTGGTTGAGGCACCATCCCTGGAGATATTCAAAAGACGAGTTGACACCATGGTGCTTGGGGATATGGTTTGGTGTTGGGCAGTGTGGTTTTTTTGGGGGTTTTTTGTTTTTTTTTAATGGTTGGACTAGATGATCTTAAAGGTCCCTTCCAACCTAGGCGATTCTGTGATTCTGCCATTTTTGGGTGGACGGAAGGCCCTCTCCTTGCCCCGGGGGCTGCCCGGGGGGCACACAGCATGGGCCCGGTGGAGGCCTTTGGGGGTGCCCCCCACCCGGGGACGCGCCGGGGTGTGCCCCACGGGGGACGCTTGGCTCCATGTGATCCCGCGGGTCCAGACTCTGTGTGTGTGTGTGTCCCCGGGGAGGCCGGTATGCCCCCCCCTCCCGCCCCGGCCATGTGTCCCCCCGCCGGCTGCCGCCGCGGCCCCGTTCCCCGGCGGGGGCCACGCCCCTTTCCCTCCCGCAGCCAATGGGCAAGCGGGACGCGGCGGCGCGCCGAGCCCCCGCCCACGTGTCCGCCGCCGCCCCTATATAAAGCGGCCATTTCAGCCGCCCGCCCCGCTGCCCGCAGCGCCGCCTCCCGCCTTGCCTTTCCTCTCCTCGCCTCGCCCGGCCTCACCTCGCCTCTCCCGCCATGACTGATGCGGCCGTGTCCTTCGCCAAGGATTTCCTCGCCGGCGGGGTGGCGGCAGCCATCTCCAAGACCGCCGTCGCCCCCATTGAGAGGGTGAAGCTGCTGCTGCAGGTGAGCGCCGGGGCGGCCCCAAGGTCGCCGCAACGTGAGGGGGGGGAGGTGGTGGGCGGCGGCGGGCCCGGGGGTCGCGGGTGGAACGGAGGGGGCTGACGGCGGCGTTTCGTGTCGTTCCCTCCCCCTGCAGGTGCAGCACGCCAGCAAGCAGATCGCCGCCGACAAGCAGTACAAGGGCATCATCGACTGCGTGGTGCGCATCCCCCGGGAGCAGGGCGTCCTCTCCTTCTGGCGCGGCAACCTGGCCAACGTCATCCGGTACTTCCCCACCCAGGCCCTCAACTTCGCCTTCAAGGATAAGTACAAGCAGATCTTCCTGGGCGGCGTGGACAAGCGAACCCAGTTCTGGCGGTACTTTGCCGGTAACCTGGCGTCCGGGGGTGCCGCCGGCGCTACCTCCCTCTGCTTCGTCTACCCCCTTGACTTTGCCCGGACCCGCCTGGCAGCGGACGTGGGTAAAGCCGGGGCTGACCGGGAGTTCAGCGGGCTCGGTGACTGCCTGGTCAAAATCTTCCGCTCGGATGGCCTCAGGGGCCTGTACCAGGGCTTCAACGTCTCTGTCCAGGGCATCATCATCTACAGAGCCTCCTACTTCGGCATCTACGACACCGCAAAGGGTAGGTTGGCCAAAGCGGCACTGAAAGGGAGGTGTTGGGCTGCAGCAGGCCTGTAGTGCATCTTGGTGGGTGGTGGTGGCTTACCTGCTGTTCTCATCCAAACCTTTCTCCTCCAGGAATGCTTCCGGACCCAAAGAACACCCACATCGTCGTCAGCTGGATGATCGCTCAGACCGTTACCGCTGTTGCCGGTTTGGCCTCCTACCCGTTTGATACGGTTCGTCGTCGCATGATGATGCAGTCTGGCCGTAAAGGAAGTAAGTTTCTACCTCCTCAGGTAGGAAATATTGGGTATCCCTGAATCAACAGTTGGTGGTGGAGCCAAGGTGAAGGCAGAGTGGCTTGGCGTTCACCAAGCCATGTAGGTATCCCCTCCTCTTGTAAACAGCAGGGTGTGAGAGGGGCTGCAGAAGCAGATGTCAGGTGGGGGTCAGTCTCTGCAGCACCCCTGTAAGGTGGTGTGCACAAGTCAGATAGCTGTCAGTAGGTAGGAACAGCAGAACTTGCCCAAGGATGTTGCAAGTGAGTGCCTCTGGGCCAAGAAGACACATCCCTGATAGCAGGCATCGCGTGGCTGGCTGTGCAATAGCTTTTGGGTCTGGAAGTGTTGGTGTCAAAGTAAACAGTAGCTGCCTTCTGCTCGAACCGGTCCTTCCAGTGTCTCCTAGGGGTAATGCTGCAGCAGCAGCCTGGGAAATCTTCTCCTCTGATGCACTAATACTGGAGAAAGTCAGTCAAGAAACAGGGTGCGCTTGAGGTTATGAAGCTGGCAAGATATGTTAGGCCGATTCCAACCTGGATGCTAGGGGTCATGGGCATCCGGTTCCTAACACTTGTCTGTCTCCCACAGCTGACGTAATGTACTCCGGCACTATTGACTGCTGGCGGAAGATCGCCCGGGACGAGGGCTCCAAGGCGTTTTTCAAAGGTGCATGGTCGAATGTACTCCGAGGAATGGGTGGTGCTTTTGTCTTAGTCCTCTATGACGAAATCAAGAAGTACACATAAGTTATTTTCTGTTGTGAACTGGCATGTTGTAATATGTATTTGTGGACTTGTATGAAAACCGTCAAGTTACTAAAAAGTGACGGCTGGTATTTATACAGGTTGGCATGGGGCGGGGGCAACTGCCTGCCCTGTCTTCATTAAGACATTCCCCCTGATGGGACTCAAACATGGTTTCTATTTCAGTCACTTCTGCTTAAAGAGTATGAAGAAATAAAAATCTAAACCCAACTTTCCTCATCTCATGCTTGTTCTCTCTGCAGTGTGTGTGGGGGTGGTCTCCACGCAGTGATTGTAGAGGAGGAAGATGAACCATCTCCATCCTGCATGGCTTCTTACTTACTGACTACCCGTAGCCTCTGGCAAGTAAATGTGGTGCAGGGTGCTGAGGATGCTGTGTGGTGTGTCCACCCCAGTGGAGGCCAGTGGTGTGGGCTGGAAAGGAGACTGGCACCTCTGAAGGACTTTCCCAGGTGGTCTCTCGTGAGGTGGTGTGTTGGCTGTGTGTCACTGGTCCTGCCTCTGGCCTGTCTGCTCCCTGGGGCTGATGAAACCTGCACAGCCTTCCCCGTGGCGCTGGATGCCTGGGAGGCAGGAGAAATGTCCAAGGGGTGTTTGCTGCTGTTCGGAGGAGCAGAGCTGCATTGTGGCAGAGCATTCTGGCTTAGAAACAGCTACCTCCTCGGGCATGTTAAAACCCAGCCAGAGAACTTAAGTGCTGGTAATTGCTGCTCTTCTGTAGAGCCCCTGGCTATCCTTGCCCTCACTGGGCTTGCCAGGCAGGGACCTGCATCCCCAGGCTCATTCCTCACCCCTGGAAGTTAAACTTGTCTCAGCCCCAAATTCTGGGGGAAGGGGGAAATTCTTGTTGCTGGAGCAATTTGGGGAAAACTGCAAGACTGGACAATGCATGTGGCTTGGCCTTTACTCAGACATCTCTGTGGGTCTGTGAGCCGCCCCAGTGAAGCTGCCTAGTTTCTGGTGGTGACTTCTCGTGGTCCCTCATCAGTAAGTCCTTCCTCGCTGCCCGCACGCCTCTGGTCCTTTCTGGCTGCCCAGGCCTGTTGGAAGCGGTTGAGCTCAATCACTGAAACCAATCTCAAACACTGTGTGAGGCAGATAAACAAGCCCTTGTGTTGCAAAGAGCAGTAGTTGTTTTCATTGCTGAAATCCAAGTGGGGCATGAGAGCGCAGCACCGTCCCACCGCAGCCGGCGTCGGCGAGCCTGGGTCCCTGTGAAGGGGTGTGTGAGTTCCTGGTGGGAGATGGTCTCACACCACCAAGAGCCTTTGCTGGTGCATTTCAGCCACCCCTGGGCTCCTGCAGTGTGAGATCCCTGCAGTGATGCCTGGCTTGGAAACACAGCGGGCTGAAAGTTTCCCTGAAAGACACGGAGCAGTGCCGTGGGGCAGACTCACCGGGGAGCCCTCTCCTGCTGCACAAACTGAGCTAATTAAGGGCTCTCGGCTCTTACTGCCTCCTGACGATGAGCTCTTCTGCATTTCAAGGACTGTTCTGAAATACTGCTGGTTGCTGAGCATGGGACGTCCTTTCCTCTGCAGAGGACACATGGCCAGGCCATTAGCACAGGGAGGTAAGTGCATCATTTCTTCCTCTATGTGGTGGTGGTGGCAGTGGTGTGAGCCAGGCTGTCCTGCTGGGGTGCCACACAGCTGTCTGGTGGGTCCTTGGACTACAGCATTTTGCACAGGGCTGGCACTGGGTGAAATGGGTTGTAGCTACCCATTAGTAGTTACTGCTTTGGGGTCTCAGGAAACACATGTTTCATGGCTCCTTTTAGCTCTTGTGGATGGGAGATGTGGGGCAGAGCCCTTGATGGGTTTTCCCTGTGGTCCACTGCCAGGAGTACAGGCTGGCAGCCTCCTCCGGCCTGGGGTCCCTGGGGATTTAACTTCCCCCTCCTGGCAGCTCCCCATGACCAGCTTTATCTGGGGAAGCAGGTTGAGGGGTTCAACAGCTGCCTTTGCCTGCCACGGGAGCATAGAACAGAGGGATTAAAGGGTGGGTGTCAAGAGGATGGGGCCAGTCTTTTTTCAGTGGTGCCCAGTGACAGGACAAGGGGTAATGGGCGCAAACTTAAGAAGTTCCATCTAAACATGAGAAAGAACTTCTTCAGTTTGAGGGTGGCAGAGCCCTGAAACAGGCTGCCCAGAGAGGTGGTGGAGTCGTCTTCTCTGGAGACATTCAAAACCCGCCTGGACACATTCCTGTGCAACCTGCTCTGGCAGGGGGGTTGGACTAGATGATCTCCAGAGGTCCCTTCCAACCCCATATCATTCTGTGATTAACGGCTTTGTTCTTGGGGGGAAACTGAGGCACGGGAAAGGGCCAGCGGCAAGGCAGCCAGCTGAGTGCAGTGCCCCCATCACCAGCGCTTTGCCCACCAGGCTGTGCTGCCCCGAGGGCGGCAGGGGCAGGGATTTTCCTTTTACACAGGATTTTCCTCTGAGGAGTACCAAATATCTCTTGTGTCGTGATTTCCTCCCAGGCAGTGGTGCCCAGCCTGGCGTGTCGGCCCCTTTGCTGGTGGGAAGGGGTGGGCGAGCGCCTGTAATGCCTCTTTCATCTCGGCCCCTCGCCTGGCGGCCGTAAATCCTGGGTTTAGGAGCTGTTGGCACAGCACAGCCACGCAGGGCATGGTATGAAACACTTGTCACGGCTGGGGCAGGTGGCAAGTGGTGCTGGATATTTAGCACAGTTCGGTGTGCACCAGCCCCCCTGGGCTGAAGACCTGTGTTGTGTCACTCCCAACCTTAACCCTACCTGTAAATCGCACTATCCCGAGGCACCTACTGTTCTGTGTCACCTGAAGTGGGACCGTACTTCATCCCTTATGACAACTGCAGACTAAGAAGTCTCCATCCCAGCAGACCTTCCATGGTTCAAAACCCGTTTTCAAATTTCAAAGTCTTTGAATCCTGCTTGGAAAAAAAAAAAAAAAAATCCCGATTTTTAGAGAGACCAACCAGAGGTTGCTCAGGGCTTGGGTGACTCCCAGAGGAGCCCTGAGGCCCTCGCCTGGCTGGACTGTGCTACCACACTCGGAAAGGGGGTTTGTGGAACGGAGCTGTCCCACTCATTCCTCATGCCCTTCCCAAGTGTTACACACCACCTGAAGAGCTTCTGGAAACAGGCTTCAGATTGACAGATGATCAGCAGGGAACAAGACCAGCACCGCTTGAGTTAATCTGAACACGTGTTTCCCCAGCCTGGCACTACATCCACACACAATGACGCACCGTAGTCTGACAGCTTTGGGGCAGAGCTCACTCCCTCCCTCACACCTTATTTTTCCCAAAAAAGGAAGGATACATCCTTAAGCTAAGCAGACCTGAGTTTTCCCAGTCAGGGTTACAAAGCCAGATGAAAAATCTTTATTGATTATAGGAAGTCTTTCATAGTAATTGTGGAAGATGAAGCATCTTGTTCATCACTCACATTGTTTTATACTTTGGTAGAGTAAGAACACCTTAGGAAGTATTTTAGTTCAAACCCATAACAGGGTATTTAATCCCAAATACAGCAACAAAGACACAGGCTATAGAGCACTGTTGTTACATCACACAAGAGACACAAAACATTATTTCCCAAGCAAGGTACTTTACACACCAATTCTTAATGTTGTCTTTATCCAGGTCCTTAGCGGTCAGTGCATTCAAAACAATTCTCCTTCACATTTTACATCTCCAAATACCGATAATGTTTTGCAGAACGAGTTAGTGCAGACTAGTGCAGTTGTGTTCTACTTTAAATGATCACCAATCACATCAGTAGCTTCCAACTATATATTTGTACTCATTAGTGGTATAGTACACAGGCAGTTTGTGTTTACAGTTGGATTTCATGTTCTTGCATTGAGCAGGGATGGTGAAATTCTGTACAGCTGTGGCTTTCTGATGTTCAAGAGGAGCTGAGACTGAGAGCTTATAGCCAAGCCTGTGCTGCCTGACTGCACTGCTGGTCCAGGTGAGCAGCACCACGATCCCCAAGCCTTGCACCTGAGTCGTTCCAGACTGTCTCAGAATGGCAAATCTCTCAGGCTGCTGCGCATTTTAGACCCACTTAAAATAACAGTATGAACTACAGGCACAGTTTACTTTTGTAATGATTTCTTTGTTGTTACAGTTGACCTGTTGTTCTAGTACATTTATGGAAATCTTACACATTTGAAAACTACCAAAATGAAAACAGAGGTATCTAAAGGTGCACTGAACTCAGGAAGGCACCCAGTGAAGATTTTCCCGAAGGTAGATATTCTGGCTGGAACATCTTGCTCACAACACTGGGTCTGTAGAGAATGGCAGTTTGAGCAAAGTCTCCAGTGCCACTAGAGTTATTAAAATTGGTACCAGAGTATCAGCTATGACAGAGAGGTACTCATCCTCCAAGCTGATTGCAGCATGTTGCCCTTGAACGTTGCCTGTTAATTCCGCTTTGCTGACAGATCTGCGATAGCTTCTGGTAGCTTTCCCCTGTCTCCAAATACCCAGTAGATGTGCAGAGTTTCATTTGAACTGATTATCAATCAGGGTTCCTTTCATCTTGGCTTTCTTGGCTTCCAACTCAGCCTGATATAGAAAATTAAGACAGAATGAAATAATGCCTGGATACATTTTCCTTCAGTGCTCCAATAAGGTTTGATCTTCCTGTCTGACCCTCTGCAAGCCTTTCACACCAGGAGCAAAAGTACCTCAAGTACTCAGCTGACTCCTTCCTCCCCTGAGGTACAAAACAAGGACCACCTTTAAAATCATGAAAAGCCCAAGACTAACTGCACAGGAGACAATTTCATAATTTCTGTCCTCAGGTGGAAGCTGCGCTTTTCCCCCACCTCCCACCTACTACTCTCCTGTAGCATTAGGGGTGCTCTGGTTGGTAAAGCCATGGCCTGGCTTCCCCTCTCCTTGTTCCTCTTCCAACAGGTCATGGGAAGACTCCCTGCAAAAGCTCTGCTGGCTGGTCTTCAGTTAGCTCTACAGGTAACTGCATACAACTTAAAGTTCAGGAGGACTAGAAGAACATCTCTATAAAACACCTCTATAGAGGAAAAATCGTCTTCACAAAGCTACAAGTTACCTATGACTGTACCAGGACCTCTCTATACTTGGAGTCTGATCTGCAAGATAGATTGTGTACGAAGCCAACAGATCTCAGGGATTTGTATTCAACACCGAAGAAAATACTCACCAACTCCTGTAGCCTTCTTTTGCTCATGCCTTTGCGTTCCAGCTGTTTCTCAATCACTTTTGCATTCTGTGCATAGGAGTCTGCAATCTCCCTCTGAAACACATACGACATCACTTTGCAACAGCAAACCCCAAAGTAACGACACCTCATCCAAATGGTGAGACGATCGCTGGCCCTGATCAGTGTCTGAGATGGCTGCCCCGGTCAGACGTGACTGTCCCTAAGGGCAGACAAAACTCACCGCTTCGATCTCCTCCTCCTCTTCATCAATTGTGGAGACTGTGACAGAACTGAACTTGCCCATGTCTTTGGTCCGTTTGGTCATCATCACCTGGGTGAGAAGCAGAGTATTTTGTTAAACCTTGGCAGCCGTTGTGCCACTAGGGATCACTTCCCCCTCCAAAGCTTTTAATGCTTCTCATGCAAGTCTAATTCTCTAAAAGGAGAATTATCCCCAATGATTTCTGGGCTTAGAGCTGTCATGATCAGAAACAAACTCAGTAACGTATAATAAGCCAGATTTTGAGAATCACTGTGCAGACTACCAAACTGACCTACTTACAAATGGAAACTTTCTGTAACTGAGTGTAAACATCAGGCACAGTCTAGATTTCCAAGTTTATTTTGCTTGCTTTTAGTGCTAGGATTCTAAGCTGCAGTGACCTCTGTAAAGGAAAACTTAAGGCAGACTGAGAGAAGACACCAAAATGAATTATTGTTTAGAGGACCATTTCTTTTTTCTCTGCTCTGCCCTTGTTATTCAGTGATTTTACTCAGCACAGCTTTTTGAAAATCAGAGATAGCCTTTTTACGTCTCTAAAGCTGATTACCTTTTTGGGAGGTTCTTGTTTCTGGGTGTATATGTTTGTTTTCCCAAAACACTGGCCAAATTTGACCACAGCACCGTCAACAATGAAGGTCACAGGAGCATTTTTCTGTTGGTGTTGATAAAAGAGCAGCAGTCCACACCTGGAAACAGAAACGAGTATAGCTGTGAGGAAACTCAGATTCTGGATTCCTATGGTTACTTGCAAACAGATTGTAAAAGTCACTGAAAGCCACTCACTTGCCACATTTCTTCCTGAACTGCCGCTCTATGCCTTCTGGTCTGGGGGAGAGAGAAACAGCTTGAGAGGAGGGCGCAGACAGCAGGCAATGGTGCCTGGCTGATGGACCTCGGCTGGGTGAGGAGGCACAGCCGGACCCAGGCAGCCCCCTCCCCGGGTCGTGGAGGGGCTCTCAGAGGGACGGGGTTGGGGGCAGAGGCGGGGGCCCGGCTCATCCCACCTGCGCAGGAAGACGCTCTCCTCCTCCTCTGCGTTGCAGAACTTGTGGGCGTGCTTGGCGGCGTCCATCACCCGGGCACGGTCCCGCGGCCGCATCGGCAGCTTCTCCAGCTGGCAGTCTGCGGGGCGGGGACGGGCTGACGGCGGGATCGGGACGGGTACCCGGGCTCTCACCGCTGCCGGGCCCCCAGGCCTGCTCCCCCCGGCCCCACGGCCTACCCCCAGCCCGCGGCTTAGCCCCCTGGCCTGCTCCCCCGCCCCGCGGCCTACCCGAGGCCTGCTCCCACCGCCCCGAGGCCCAGCACTTCTGACTCACACTGGGACACCAGCACTTCCCAAGCTGGTGTGGCAATACTCATCACAGCCAGTCCGCGCCGGCCCGGCCCGGCCCCCGCTGCAGCGCGGCTCCGCCCGCCCTGCCCGCGCTCCGGCAAGGGGTGTTCGAGGAGCAACGGCTGTTTCTGCTCGGTTCGCGTTGGTTTGCTTTTTTTTTTTTTTTAATTTATAATTTCAAGTTCTCAAGACGGGGCCGTTTCTCCCGAGGGGGTTGGTGGGGGCCGCTGTTGTGCACCGGGGGGCGGCTGAGGGCGCCCTGCCTCCAGGCCCAGCACAGCACGGGGCGGGCGCGCATTAAATGCAAATTATCATGGCAAAATTTAGGCCTTACGTCATTTCTCATAACAAACGAGCCGGGCACAGGGGCGCTCCGGGCCACAGGGAGACGGTCGCACCGTTTCCCTTCACAGCTGCTTTCGGGCAGCGCAGGAAGTGGGGAACGAGCAGGGATTTTTTTGGGAGCAGGGATTTCTCGCACACCTAGAGATGAGGCACCCAACAGAGTCTTCCCCTGATGAGCTCATCCCTCTCTCACTGCGCAGGCTGGGTAAGAGCAGGAAAGGTCAGGAAGGGGAGATTTTCCGTGCAGCCAGGAAAACCATTATTTTTATTATTTTCTTTCAGCTTGTGGAAAGGCAGTGTGTCCTCCTCTCGTGGTTTGTTTTTTCAGAAGCCCCCTCCGCAGGTGGCCACATCAGGTGAAGGCACAAGTGGAAGTGGGGGTAAGGCAGAACAGGGGCTATCCAGCCTGCTCTGGACAACAGCGGAGAGAGATTTTTTACTCCCAAAGGCTATTGAGAAAAGGCAGAGATGTTGTTTTCCCTCGGAAGCAGTTCTCTGTGGAAGCAGGAATCATAGAATCATTTAGGTTGGAAAAGACCCTTGGGGTCATCGAGTCCAACTATCAACCCTACTCTACAAAGTTCTCCCCAACACCACATCTAAACGACTCTTAAACACATTCGGGATGGGGACTCCACCACCTCCCTGGGCAGCCTATTCCAATGCCCGACCACTCTTTCTGTGAAAAACTCTTTCCTGACGTTCAGTTTAATCCTACCCTGTTGTAGCTTGAAGCCATTCCCTCTTGTTCTATCACTAATTACCCGGGAGAAGAGACCAGCACCAACCTCTCTACACCACCTACAGCTGCAGAGAGCAAAGAGGTCTCCCCTCACCCTCCTCTTCCTCAAACTAAACACTCCCAGCTCCTTCAATCGCTCTTTCTACTATTTGTTCTCCAGGCGCTCCCAGCGGGGGCTGGGGCCGCACGAACATCCCCCCCCCCGGCGGAACCGCAAGGACCCG